CTACTACTACTACTACGAGTACTAGGTACAGTACTACTACTACTACTACTACTACTACTACTACTACTACTACTACTACTACTACTACTACTACTACTACTACTACTACTACTACTACTACTACTACTACTACTACTACTACTACTACTAACTACTAACTACTAACTACTAACTACTAACTACTAACTACTAAGTACTAACTACTAACTACTAACTACTAATTACTAACTACTAACTATTAACTACTAACTACTAACTACTAACTACTAACTACTAACTACTAACTACTAACTACTACTACTACTACTACTACTACTACTACTACTACTACTACTACCACTACTACTACTGCTGCTGCTGCTGCTACTACTACTACTACATGTGCTAGTGCTTATCCTACTCTTGCCCTTCCCCAGCCGCCTGCTGGACCTCCTTTCCCTACAGGGTCGCCTCCTCGTCGTCGTTGTCGTCATCACCCTCCTCCCTCTCCTCCTCCTCCTCCTCCTTCTCCTCCTCGTCCTCCTCCCTTGCTTCCTCGATCACATCCCTTCCGCCAGAGGCACAAGAGACGAGGTAGGATGGGGGCCTTGCCTTTTGATCTGGCCGGGGGGGGGATGGACATCAATCATCAATCCTGCGTGGCCCCAGGTAGGGGCTCCTTCCCAAGTCTGAAAAGAAAAAGGCTTGGGCAGGCTACGAGCAATTTGGAGGCAAACTGAAAAGCCTGGATATCAGCCTTGGTGCCACGAGGCACTGACTGGAGTGTGCTCAGGCCCCTTCGGCTCTCTACCCTGTAGATCATTTGGGGGGACGAAAGACTCGGGTTAGGGGGGCTCATGTTAGCCTGACGGAGCCATCATGCAAATGACGAGACCCAATCTGAAATCTGACGCGGGCTCCCACCGCAAACATCACACGAAAACTGGACTGTCAAAATGTAGAACGCGCGTTGGTAAACCCGAGTTCCGGGGCACTCGAGTCTTACGTTCAGATGTGAGGGGCCCAGCCCCCCCCATTCTGGGCGCTCCTGCGCGCCGGTGGGGGCGCCCCGTAAGAGTTTTCGGAAGCCCTGGGGGCGCGGTTGGGGGTGCACACTTCCTGCGTGTCCTGGGTCGCTTTCGGGTGCCTCTTGGGCCGTCTTGGGGGCCCTCGAGGCTGGCACAAAAGGCCCCAGTCATCCAAATCCACTGAGTGATTGTGTGATCTAAGATGATCGCCTGGTCGGCTCAAATAAAGAGCGTCCAGGGCGAACCCCAAGGCTACTCCAGGAGGCCCCCGAGCCTCCGAGAGGGCCCAAGAGGAACCCGACACGGCCCCACGAGGGGGATAGCGAACTGACATGTGTCGAGCCCTCCAGCCTAGGACGACCTGCAAGACCGCCACCAGGCCCCCCAGAGGCCCCCAGAGGCCCCAAGAGACCCCGAATAGGCCCGAAAGAGTCCCCCTACAGGCCTCCAAGGGGCCTCCAAGGGGCTCCAACCATGCCCCCAAAGAGGCCTCCCAAGAGAGATCTAGGAGGCCCACCCTGGGAAACATCTGAGAGGCCTCTGGTCCACACTCCAGTCACGGTGCCAGGTTGGGCCGAAGATCACCACATGTACTCCATATTATGTGTATATATAGGTATATATATGTATATATATACACATATATATATGTGCATGTATACACGTACATACATACATACATACATACATACATACATACATACATGCATGCATGCATGCATGCATGCATACATACATACAAACGTACATACATACACACATACACACATACACATACTAACGTACATACGTACATACATACATACCTACATACATACGTACATACATACATACATACATACACACATACATACGTACGTACATACATACATACATACATACATACAGCCATACACACATGCATGCATGCATACATACATACATACATGCATACATACATCATTCCATACATACACACACATACATACATTACATTACATTACATTACATTACATTACATTGCATTACATTACATTACATTCCATTCCATTACATAACATAACATACCATAACATACATACATCCATACATCCATACATACACACATACATACATACATACATACATACATGCATGCATGCATACATACATACACACAACTCTATATACAGTTGTACGTCTATAGATTCACATATAGCAGGTTGTGTTTAACCTTCCGACTGAGCTTGCCCAATCCCGCCCCCCTCCATCCTTCTCCCCCTCATCCTCCTATTCCTCCAACCCCACTCCACCCGTTCCGACAGCATGTGCCCCCCCCCCCAGCGGATCCAAGGGGGGCACTATTGTCCCATCCAGAGTAGGTGCAGTCTGAAGAGGCGCCAAAGACAAGCAATACAACCGAGAGGGCGGGGCTCAGTAAGCTCTGCCTCGGGTAATCATCGTCACTGGCTCTCCTGCGCATCACTTCACAAGCACGAAACTATGACCTCCTCCAGGCAAGCTGAACCCGGCACGCTGAACTTTCAGGGCCGAAGCCTGGCAGACAGTATTTTCTCGCAGCGACAGTGGGGAGTAGCAAGAGGGAGAAGCGAGAAGAGGGAGGATGAGCAGCAGGATGGGAATCCTCTTCTTCCTCCTCTTCTTCTTTCGCCTCCTCCTCCCTCCTGCTCCTGCTCCTGTTCCTGCTCCTCCTCCTCCTCCTCTTCCTCCTCCTCCTGCCTTACCCTCACTCCGCCTCCTCCCTTCTTTCCCTCGTCCCGTGTTCTTCCTCCTCACTCCTTCCTCCCTCCCTCCTCCTCCATCAGCTGGCCTGGCTAGGGTCAGTGACGCCCCCCCCCCTCCAGGCGCGTTTGCTCATCTCTGGGCACTCCTGTGGCGTCGCGCGGCGGTGCGCAGGCGGCGGGGCGGCTGAGGCCCAGCCTGGCGTCGTGCAGGTCCGGGGCCAGCAGGCCCACCATGCGCTCCTCGGGGAAGCGGAGGGGACGTCGGCAGCCCACGGAGCGGGGGAGGGATGGGGAGGGGGGACAAGGAGGGGTGTTCAGGGGCAGGCAGGAGGGGGAGGGGGAGGAGGGTGGAGGGAGGGGAGGGGGGGGAGTGAAAGGGGGGCAGGAGTGTAGGAGTGGGAGGAGGTGGCGTGGATAGGAGGGATGGGGGAGGAGGACGAGGAAGTGGAGGAGGCGGAGGAGGAGGAGGCGGAGGAGGAGGAGGAAGAGGAGGAGGAGGCAGAGGATGATGAGGAGGAGGAGGAGGCGGAGAAGGCGGACGAGGAGGCGGAGGAGGAAGAGGAGAGGGATTCTTGCGCGACGCTACAGGGAACAGAGAGAGGGAGGTCCGACGAGTCCCAAAGCTCCTGGGGGGGCGCCCGAGAGGACCTTCTTGTCACCCTGGCATGGGATGAAGGTTCCTGCCAAGAGGAGGAGAAGGAGGAGGAAGAAGAGGAGGGAGAGGATGAGGCGGATGAGGAGGAGGTGGAGGCGGAGGAAGATGAGGAGACGGATACTGATGCTGCTGATGATGATGATGATGATGATGATGATGATGATGATGATGATGCTGATGCTGATGCTGATGCTGATGCTGATGCTGATGCTGATGATGATGATGATGATGATGATGATGATGATGATGATGATGATGATGATGATGATGATGATGATGATGATGATGATGATGATGATGATGTGATGATGCTGATGCTGCTGCTGCTGATGAGGAGGAGGAAGAGGAGGAGGAGGAAGAGGAGGGAGGAGTCGGAGTCGGAGTCGGAGTCGGAGGAGGAGGAGGGAAAGGAGGAGGAGGAGGAGGAGGAGGAGGAGGAAGACGAGAAGGAGGAAGAGGAGGATGAGGAGGAGGAGGAGGAGGAGGAGAAGGAGGAGGAGGAGGAGGAGGAGGAGGAGGGAGGGGGGGGGGAGGAGGAGAAAGATGAGGAGGTGGAAGCGGAGGAGGAAGATGAGGAGGTGGAGGCGGACGAGGGGAGGAGGAGGAGGAGGAGGAGGGAGGAGGAGGATGAGGAGGAGGAGGAGGGAGAAGAAGGAGACGGAGGAGGAGGCGGAGGAGGATGAGATGATGAGGAGGAGGGAGGAAGAGAAGGAGGAGGAGGAAGAGGAGGAGGAGGAGGAGGAGGCGGAGGAGGAGGAGGAGGAGGAGGAGGAGGAGGAGGAGAAGAAGGAGGAGGAGGAGGAGGCGGATGAGGAGGAGGTGGGGGTTAGGAGGAGGAGGTGGAGGAGGAGGGGGCGGAGGAGGAGGAGGAGGCGGAGGAGGAGGAGGGGGGGGGGATGAGGATAAGGGGGCGAGGAGGAGGAGGAGGAGGAGGAGGAGGAGGAGGACCATAATCAACCCACGATGTAGCAGTGATGTTGCAATATCCCCCCGTCCCAAGTCCCCTCCTCAACAACACCATCTGGGCATTCTTGCTTGCTGCGCGAAGCGCCCGGCGTGAAAGACCAGCGCCCCACGGGCCTGCAATTCATGCAGGAGCTCGGCTTAGAACGAAGATGCCCTCGATCCTTCGAGCCAGAAGCCAAACGGACAAGGTGCGGCCATGAAAATCAGAGACGAGGCCCAACGACAGCCCCCCTTTGAAAAGGAACCGCCCTCCATGCGTGTACCTGTCGGGCGGTTTTGAATTTCTGGTGATCGGAACCGAGCGACATCTCAAACGATAGCCCCGTGTTCAGCAGACGCCGCTCTCCATGCGTGTAGCTGTTACACAGTCTTCAGTCTTATACGCAATGTGGTGATAACTGTGGATGTCTCACGCGAAGGCCACCTTTTGAAAAAAGAACCGACCTCCATGCATGCACGTTGCTGCTTTTTTAGACGAGTGTGTGCGCCGCCATGGTGGGACCCCCCACTCCGAAAGAAACAACGATTCGCCATTCGTCCGACCCATCGACGCGTATGGTGGCACGATATATCGGGGAGGCGTTACATAGTGTAGCGAAGAGGGGTGGACAAGGAAGCCGACGATAACCAGGAGGGGGAGGAGGGGGAGGGCATTGGGGGAGGAAGAGGAGGAGGAGGAGGAGGAGGAGGAGGATCAGGAGGAGGAGGAGGAAGCGGAGGAGGAAGAGGAAGAGTCGGAGTCGGAGGAGGATGGAACGACTCCGTAACAATGTTGGCTCAAAC